AGCTAATATTCTTAGGTTTGGCCTTTTCATGGTGTCTCCTATTTCCTGTATATTTTGTGTTGGGGATTTGTTGCACTTAAGATTTTCTTTGGTTGATGACTCTGTTTCTTCTAGTGAGTCTTCAGCACCTGAGATTCTCTCTTCCATCTCTTGTATTCTATTGGTTATATTAACATCTGTTAGTTCCTGATTGTTTACCAAGTTTTTCTATTTCCTGTAATTTTTTGTTTGTTTTTTCTTCCATTTCTTTAAGGGATTTTCTGTTTCCTCTTTGAGGATCTCTAACATCCTCATAAAGTTGTTATCAAGGTCTTTCTCTTCTGCTTCATCTGTGATGGGATATTCGAGGTTTGCTGGTGTGGAGTCCCTAGATTCTGGTATTGGAGCGGCCACTGTTGATGCCCTTCCCTTTTAATGAGATTGATGACTACCTTAATTGGCATCCTAGAGCCTTCATCCAGTAGCTGATGGAAGCAGAAGCAGGCACCCACAGCTAAGCACTGAGCCATACTCCTGGAATCCAGTTGCAGAGAGGGAGGGGAGATGAGCAAAGGAGTCAAGACCATGCTGGAGAAACCTACAGAACCAGCTGACCTGACCAAGTGAGAGCACACGGCTCCCAGTTGTAAATCTGGGGAACCAGCATTGAACTGAACCAAACCCTCTGAATGTGGGTGTCAGTTAGGAGGCCTGGGCAGTCTATGGGACCTCTAACAGTGAACCAGTACTTATCCCTAGTGCACAAATGAACTTTGGGAGCCCATTTTCTATGAAGGAATACTATTTCAGCCCAGATACATGGAGGAAGGCCTAGGCCCTCTGTCAAATGATGTGACAGACTTTGATGATCCCCCATGGAAGGCCTCACCATCCTTGGGGAGCCGGTGGGGGTAGGGTTGAGGGGGTTGGTAGGGGGCATGGGAAGGCAGAAGGGATAGGGAATGGAGGGATTGATATATAAAATGATTGTTTCTAAAGAAAAAAAAACTTCAATAACCCTAAAATTAGTTGTCTTTCTGATCATGGGACCCTTAGTTATGAAGGGTTTCCTCTGAATTTTAATTATTTCAAGCAATATTTGAAGGATAAGATCGTAAAAGTAACCCACAGACTGAGACCATCTCCAGCTAGTGGTGGTGTTCCTTCAGCATTAGAACTGTGTTAGCTCACTCACTCTGTCACCTCCACAGACACACTGTGGGGTGGCCTTGTGGAATGAGTAATGCATGCCCACTTCTAGCTCATTCTCAGGTCACATAACTTCCTCACATCCCTAATTGCTACAGATAGCTATTGGTGAATTCTCTTTGCAGTGACTGGGCCTGTTTTTGGCATGCTCCCCTCATCAAACGTGAACCATAAAAATGTGTTTAATCCTCTCAGGAATGTGATGATAAGAGAACATTAATGGGATGAAAAATAAAATCTCAATTTAGGACATCTTCATTTTTCAGACTGAGAAATTGATCTTTCAAAAATTCGCATTTGGACAAAGCTACAACCTAAGTTATGGGGCCCTGGAATTTACCCGAACCCTAAATCCACAGGCACATGTCCCACACATTCTTTATTGAATTTCTCCTACAAACCAGGCATTGTTCCAAGATATTTTCTGCGTATTAGCTGTTAGTACTTTTTTAAAAAGTAGGAATATAGGAGATACCACACAAGAATTATTTCCTTGTTTTTACAAAATCTATCTTTTAAAGGATTATTTTCCCCCAAGTTCCCATGGATAATTCAATGACAAAGCTAAGATTTAAATCTCTGTATAATCATACTCCAAAGCAAAACATATTACAATTCACCGCCTTTTTCTAGTTCTGAGATATAAGCATTAGGAAACTAGTGAGTTCATGAAGCATATTTGATTTATCTGTGAGAAACAAACAAACAAACAAACTCAGGAAGTGTGGCTAAGTCCTAACCTTGGGCTCCATAGCAGTAAAACCCCTGGGTTTCCCAGTGCCATGCCTCAGCATTCCCTGATTCCCAATACAATGAAGATGAAGATATACGTGTCTGTACTATTTGTAGATGAATGATAAACTTCACAGAAAATTCTAAACCCCATTTCCTATATCCATGACCTCTATGCTGCATACAGGAGTAGGCACTTCCCTTAACGTTATGATAATAAATTAGACTCTCCTGTCAACCACCATAACCACAGGGTCACCCTCAGGAAGACCAGAACTCCAAGTCTCTTGAGTTCATTTCCTGAGGGCTGTGGGGATTTTGGGCTGCAGTGGGAAGCAGATAGATGACCAAGGAGAAGGTCAGCCATGTGCCTCTCTGACAGAAGAAATGCCCATTCAGGAAGGCTTTGGTAGGCACTTGAGTTAGAATTCTAAGAGCAAATGTGAAACAAGCCATTGTTTATCTGTGCCTCTCCACTGAAGAAGATCAAAAGGAGGCTATCTGGGCTAGAGACAGTTTATTTCCACTTCAGGACAAAAGACAAAGGAGACTGGGGTCTTTTCCTTGCTTTGCAATTCCTGTCCCTTCCCCTCCCTTTCCTGATTGGCAGCGATAGCCTGGCGATTAATCTGTGTATTTTAAGCATGAAAACCAATTTCTGGAACTTGTCTCGTTTATGTCACAACAGGAAAAATGGAAATAGCATCCACTTACTGCTGAAGGTAAAAAACTATTTAAAACAGCCTCTTGGGCTTCCTTTTCTGACCCATGATGGTCCAGTGAACTGAAGGGTAGGTTCTAGATTGGGCCCAGAGCTCTGAGAACTTCATCTAGGGAAATGCCATTGACCACTCCTGATATTAAAATTTAGAAGCCATAAGTGCTTTAGCTCGAAGCCATTCTAATCTAAGGCCTACTTGCTGGTCCAAACTGGAACAAATAGGGATCTTATGTCTTACTTGTAACCTCACAGAAAGATGAGGGAGTGCAGGTAGCATAGCTGAAGGCCACAGCTCACACTTCTAATCCCAGCCCTGAGGAGCCTGATGTCAAGCTGAGCTGCCTACTACTTAGTGTGTCTCAAATAGCCAATGATTAAACTAAAGAAAGAAACAACCCCTGCCCCCCCACACACACAGCATGTGAGGTAACACTATGGTAGGGTTATCAGAGGCAGCACTGTGGTTTGAAGAGGCCGGATCTGACATTGTCTCTAGCCTGATTCTTTCCTTTTGAAACTGTAATTTCCCTTAAAACATGAAGAAAAGAAAAATGAAGAGTTGTATTTACAAGAAAATAAAATCACAGACTAAGTACGTAATGTAAATAGTACCCTAGGAGCACCGTTGGTTACAGGAGGCCTCAGTGTTTGGCTTGAGTAACCTAAAACTAATTGATTTTTATTTATTTTATTTTAAAGCACAGTTTGGTGAAAGCTATACTTTCCAACTAGAATTACTTATGCCTACTATAATCCATACAGAACTGTGAAGGTCACACTAACACTATTTCAAGGGACTTTCCTAGAGGTAAGTAAGCCACCACCGGTCCAATGACAACTGCTGTTAGAAACTCATGTTTAGGGCTGGAGAGATTGCTCAGCCACTAAAGGCTGGGCTCACAACCAAGAAATTCATGATGTGTCTGTCCTGCTGGTTCCCTGCTAGGTAAAATCTTGACATCCTAAGGATCTCTCTTCTGATTCCAGGCATCCTCAGTCAGCCACAGGGAGACTGGAAGATAAAAATACCCCGGGTTTCCCCACTGAGAAGCCATTCAGCTATAATCCATAGTCCTTGGGGAACTGGGTATAAAGGGCCTCAGCTAAATCCATGGCGTTCGGGGCACACACAGCATGTATGGAACGCTCCGCAACCAGAATCTCTTACTAAAGAGCCCCCCAAATCCCTCCTATGAGGATTAAATTCCTTTGCAACCTTTCAGGAAAGGTCTTGCCCAATTAGACTTAAGGACATAGGAAATGTCAAGACAAAAGGGGGGGGGTTTGGCAAAGTCTACTCCGCTGCCCTTTGTGGCGTTTTACCCACTTAGCCTCTTTGTAACCGTTTTCTCGGCATTATCCTCCTATTGACTGTTTACCCTCAGATGCCAGGAGGCTTTCCACTTGGCGAGGCCTTTTGTTTGTTTCCTCTGGTTGGAGAATCCTGCTCCTTCCCAACCATTTTCTTATCCACTCAGAATCCATTTCGTTTGTCAGAGCTGGCTTTCCCAGAGAGGAGATAGCCAAACGCCTCCACCTGGTTCATTTTCATTATCGAAGCGGCTTCATAGCCTGCCACCTACACGCTTCTCTCCTCCCTCTCACCACATCGCCAGGTAGCCAGCTCCCAGGAGCCTTCTGGGCGCACCTGTCGGGCCTCACCTGGATCTTCTTCATCCCTGACAGCTGGGCTTGGTATGAAGGATTTTAAATCACAAAAGCTATGGTCGGAAATACGTTTGCGGCGGGGAGAAAGTTCAGCATTTTAAATGGTCTCATTTCATCCTTTCGTATAGTGGGGATGCTGGAAGGTTCCCTGCAAAGGGATGCGGGATATTCTAGGACTCATAAGTCCAGCATTAGCTAGAGGGGCAAAAAGATGCTGGGATTCTGGGCTCGTGACTGATTTCGAGATGTAAAGGAAAAATGGGAAGGAAGGGTGAATTTAGTCAAGAGTTTGGTTTTGCTTCGTTTCATGTTATGTTTGGTTGGTATGTTTGGTGGCAGAAGTGATGGTAGAGGTGGTCGTTTTGTGCCATGTTGTCTGGGATACAGAAATTCGGGTTCCCCCAGTACTGATGGTTCCCTTTCTCACAGTCTTTAAGGAATGGCCCCAACCAATGGTGTGTGAGTGACACAATATCGGACTGTACCACTAAAGGGAGAGATACCAGTGCACCTAGATTACAATTCCCCCCCCCACACACATTATGCGTTTGCATTTTTGGAATCCTCTACCCTCTAAGTGGCATGACCCAGAGAGGCATTGCAAACACTAGTACGTAAGGTAACGGACTGAAGAAAATCACGTATTTCTAGCAAGGCCGCAAGACTGAGTCAACCATGACCAGTCCAGGTCGAGGAAATAGAATACAAACTGCTGCAGAGGGTAATGTTGCGTGCAGAGCTTTTACTCTTCTGGTTATGCTCGTCAGGGACAGGGAGCTGGGGAAGGTCTCTAGATGCTGGGCCAAATCTTCCTCTCAAAAAAGCCGTGGTAAACAGGAGCCTAGTCATGTTTCCACCTTCCCCACTAACAGCGTTTCCTTAGAGTTGGCAATGGAGCATGCAGGCAGAGACCACTCGCTGTCTGCTGACGGCTCAGGGTTGGCACGTTGGATGAGAAAGTCAGAATGTATTTGGAAATGCAGAAAGATGGCTTCTCAGCCCATATATCACCTGTGCATCCTTTCAGTTGGCGTTGTGTAAGCCTTTCACATTCCTCCTTCTCCCCACTCTGAATTATAAGGCCTGTCTTTCTCTCATTTACTTATTTTTATTTTCAACGTTAGCACTTAAGCCTAAGGTATAAATACAGAATACCCAGTTAATTTGAATTCCAGATACACAGTAAAGTGTTTTTTTCCTTTACTCTGACTATATTCTTAATCACACATAATTAATACTTAAAACTTATTTTCAGTGTATCTGTAACTTAAATGCCATTGTATTTGGCAGCTGTACTATAAGAGAAGTCAACTGGATGAGGCAGCACAGACCTATAATACCGTCACTTGAGTGGCTAAAGTTCTCCCACTCCTATAGCTGCAGACTATTCTAGCACATTATTAAAACATATAAACAATTTCGACCCTGGTCAGTCCAACAGATTACTTTGGGAGCATAACACACACTAAAACTCTGAGGAGATGCCTTTGGGTTGAAAGATAATTCTGAAAATAGCTAAGAGCTTTCTCCTGGCTGAGAAGTAGGACTGTCTTCCCCTTGCCATCTCTATGAGGGTAATTTTTAGTTTTCAACTAAGTCACACACTGCTGGATATCCATGAGCCTATGTTGCTGTCTTCAACTGAATGAGTTCTGCTGGGAATCTGTGCCACAGGAACTTAACTTCCAAAAGGAACGTCAGAAATACACCAGTAAGCCACAGGAAGAGATCACTCATATTACCCAATAGCAGCCCAACTTGCTTAAGTGATAGATGTGATCTGGATACACTGAGCTATACACACTGTCATGACCCTGCTGGCTCTCTCCCAACTGACACCTTGATCTAAAAGGGGGGTGCACATCTCCTCCTCTGCTTCCCACTAAATCACACACAATAACACATCACTGCTTGTCCCTCCCACCCTACCCCATACCTACCGGGCAGAGCCATCTTGATAGTCTTCTTACTGGCTCATGGTTGATCCAGCTGACTTAACGTTTGATCCTAGATTCTCATAGACTGGCAGACCTACTATGCGGAGATTCTCATACACCTCCACAAGTGTCTGTTGGTCCTCGGTGCTTTCTGGAAGGTCTCAGAAGTGGCGGCTAATACCATGTCAGTCGTGTTTTTTTTTTTTTTTTTCATATGTTTGGTTGGCTAATTACGTGATTCACTGGAACAATTTGATGTTAGCTGAAAACATGTAAAATACATTATAAATGTATGGATTAAACTTTTTTGGTGATGTTCCGGTTTGAACTTCGGTTGCCAAGTGTTGCTGTCTTATAGGAGCCTGTCCTAAAATCACCAGCTATTCAGCTGTCTGTCAACCTTCTCGAATTTGTCTCTGTAAACTCGCCAGAGTCAGACTCAGGGAAGGTACAGGGATCAGTCTCATACGTGAGCTCCTGCAAGGACAAACAATTTGATAACAACCGGACTGTTTAAAACTATAGTCCCCACTACTCAGTGACTGCTTTTACTTAGATATTCTTCAAGTTTCAAAATTGCTTCAGCTCCTCTGCCTGAGCCATTGACTTGTGTATCTTCTCCTGAAGTCCTTATTATTTCTGTTATGTATGAAGTTGTTCCATTACAAACATTGCAGTGTTAGTTTGACCAAAGCTCTTCATGTCATGTCACTCTAGCAGCCATTTCTAGTCTCTTAGACATAAATTATTTAAGCCAGAAACATTATTAAACTCCCACAGGACCATACCTATATTTTTACTATCCATATTTGTTGAAACATGGTACTAAAAAGTTGTTGTAAACTTTATACGCCTTGAAGGCAATGTGTGCCTTCTTCATCGAAGGGCCCCTACACGTGTATTAATAACAATGCAAACATCTAAGTGAGATATGTGTTTCCTTCCATCTATAAATGTAATTGGTATTGATTTATGGATCTTTTATAAGAAGCTCGAGGCTCCCAACATGGGGCCCATCCCCCGGGTTAAGAAGCACGTGCTGATATGTGTGTTATTACAGCTCAGTCAATATCCACCGGCAGGAGCTTACTAAGGGATATGAAATGTTTCCATATGAAACATGGCCACATAATCCAGTCAAGTGCAAGCAAGAATTGCAAGGGTGGGAATGGTGGGGTACGATGAGAATCAAGAACAAGGTGTTGATTCTTTGGGGAAAGGGTCGCAGGGACTACAAGTTCTACCTGACCCTGCTCCATTCGGAACTGCTCTTGGAATTCTTGGCTTTACTGTCATGACAGACCACTGTGCCAACATTTCAGTAATCATCCAGCTTAGCACAGATAGTCAGACAGACGTTAGGCTAGATAAGGATACATGTAGGATAACCTTTTGTATAGGGCCCGTTTCCCCCACCCAACACCCCAGATCCACCACTCTTTCAGATAGTGGTTTCATAAAACATTAAAAGATGCTGATGCCAGTTAACCTACGATTGCTCTTTTTCCCCCAGACGAAAAATCCTCTATTCTAACAGAGTTGAGCTTTCTCTGGTTTCAAGTCATCCATTCTGAATGTCTAACTGATGAGAGAGGTGAGGGGAGAGAATGCAGGGAGGAGTCTACAAGGCGTCCTCACCCTCTCAGGTGAGACGAGCTGGAGACAGGTCCGCCCAGCATTCCAGGGTGGCAGCACCCAGAACACCACATGGAGATGATGAGAAACATTTCAAGGCTTTAAATCAAGCTGGGACAGGTACTGGAACACTCTGAGTCAAAAGGCATTCGGTCCATGCATCATAGTGATTCTTTATGACTCAAAGGTTTATGGCTTAAAGTTAGCATTATGGTGTTGCGATTGCCTATCTGCCTTTTTGGAGGGGGTGGCTTCCACTCCCTCCTTCATCCCTTCCTTTCTTCTTTCATGCCATTTGTCCTTCAGATTCACACACCAGATGGGAGAACTTTGCAAGCCCTGTGTATGGATGAACACACGCCCCTTGGGGTTCCATGGGAGGCACGCATCGCCCTGGATGTCACTGAGAAGACGGGATGTGTGCGTGTGTGGGGTCTGTTGTACAGGATGGGTGCCAGCTCACCCAAGAAAGTTATTATATGATAGAGAGTCGGGGTGTAGGAAGGAAAGCCCCTGTCTGGGTTTATAATTGAGGCACTACACCCTTAGGTTGCATAATAAGTAAACAAAAGAGGGGGGTGTTGGATGAGTTGGTGCCTCAAGCAAGGGAGTTCTTAGACTTCGTGTTGAGACACAGAGCACAGTCAGCCAACTGAGTCCCTTTTCCACCCACTGAAAGACCTGAAAGTCAGAACATGCGGCAGTCTGGCCATCTTATAAGCAGGCCAACACCATGGCATCAGAAATGTGAGCAGTTCTTGAGTCTCTTAAGTAACTAGCCAGCATCACTGCCTCGAGAGTGGACTGCATGGAATGCCCAGCGGCTCCCATGGCAGAGTTCACTCTGGAGTTTCTGTGGCTTCGTGAGAGCTGTGGAACCATAGCTTGAAGGGATGCACACGTGAGGAGTTTCTGCTCCCACCCCTTACAGTCTTTGGGCTCATGCCACGGCACTGGTATTTGATTAAGGGGCCCATGAGGGAAACCAACCCCACATGGGAAGATCACAAAACACTTTCCACCTTGGAGTCATGGAGTGGAATTCGAATCTAAAGCCAAAAATCCTATCTGTGCCTGCTTTGCTAATTACACAAATTTCCTCGCTCCGTTCTGCAGCTGTCTGCATGCTTTCAGAGAGGTACTTCACAGCACAGGTCCAGGCATTTGTGATCTGGGACTCTGACACTCCAGTGTTGCTACCAGTGGTGTAGGCTGGGTACCCTGATTTATTACGCTTTTTCAGAATATGAAGTTAAACAGCTGCTCCACGACCTGAAGTGCCAGAGAAAGGAGGGTGACGGAGACACTGGAGGGAGGAATGCGGGCTGGGATTGGGTGCATGCCCATGGGCACATGTTCCTGTGAGGACTAACACGGGTAGCAAAGGGACCGAGAAACATTAAGAGGATATTGGAAGAAAAGTCACGGTGAAGTTGAAGGCAAATGCGTGCATTTCAAATGCTCCAGATTTCTCTATAAGAAACATTACTGAATTTCAGATATTTTACCAAAGTATTGCTTGACCAAAGAATTACAGTTAGATATTATGGGATGCATTTCTCCTTCACTTTTCTCTCCCTCAACTGCCTAATTCCTGTCTGGCTGTAACATTCATGATTTTTCAGTGAGAATAAAGGAGGTAGAAATGTGGTTGAATAGCACACACACACACACACACACACACACACACACACACACACACCCCGGCTGCCGCTCCCACTAAGTGCACAAATTGTTATAACTGTTCCTCTATTAAACTGTATGCTGGCTACTCCTGGAGAGGAAATGAATTGGGAACATAGTGCTTTGTTATTGTTATTACTTTCCTTCTAACTTATTCAAGTTTGGCTAAATGTGTTGCCCATGAATGCTGAACTTAACAAAAACTAAAACCCCCCTTGATGTTATGGAGCAATTGGGTAGGGGACTGTGGAGACCGACTGTGGTTAAAAACATGAAGGATGTTTCACAGGGCACACAGATGAACCAATAAAAATGTGACTTCTTGGCATGTATTATTTAAAAAAAATATCTTGGGTTTCTTTCAGTGAAATATTTGAAGGCGTTAAATTTTAAACAAAGCCCAGCTGGCTAGTATGCACAAGTTCCAAGCTCTGACATATTCTCATGATATCTAGTTTCAAAAAATTCTCCTACTATAAATGGGTAAGTGAACTCTTAGACCAAGAGGAGATTTCTCTTTTACTATTTATCTTTGTAATAAGGTATACTTTTGATTTTTTTTAAAAATGAGAGTAAATAGAAATTGCTCTGGTGGAAAAGGGATATGATTATAAGCCCAAATGAAATAAATATTATAAAATCTAAATTCCTGTTCAGAGTATTTTAAAAAATGCCAGAGAATCTCTAAGAAAGAATTTGAACATAGTCATATTGTTGCCAGTTATATTTTGGAGCTCACAATAAGATTGTTGAAGAATCTCCTTTTTGCCAAACCTGTAGGTGTATTATTGTTTTTGTAGGACATAGATGGACAGTTGGACCTTTCTGGGCTCAGTCATCTTAGATTAGGTTCACTTACTATGATTTGCAAACTAATAAATCATTATGCAGTGATTACCCATTATGCCCATTCTGTCATTTTTTTTCAAATGCAAAGTCATTCCTGCTCATCGCTCCTCTCATCTCTCTTCTTAATTAATTGTACTGCCAATTCCTATTGTTCCCTCCAGAGCTATTAGCAGATTGTCTTTCAGAAACACATGCTTTAATGCTCTTCCCTGAAATGAATTTTCTTCTTCTCGCAGACCCCGTAAAAGCTCCACTTCAGTTTCTGTTTTTGCACTTTACCTAATCCAACCTTTTTTAATTGCATTTAAGGATATTTGATGTGTCCCGTCCAGTGTCCCCACCCCCACCCGCCTTATGGCATTAGAGTCTTCTGAGCTCTTAATGTATTAGAGAGTAATTTACACATGACAGTTTGTACCAAAAAGGGGAATAATTTCATTGGATAAGTGATTTTGATTTGTATGCCATGGTTCAAAGAAGTAAGCATCCAGCCTCCCGTGATATGGATAATTAAGTTTTCAAGGTCAGTGTGACTTGCATGATTAGTTCCAAGAAGACCCTGCTAATGTTTCTTGAGGTTCTGAGTGAATAAAATCCACATAGTAAGTTCTGCAGTTAATCTTGGTGTTACATTCATACCAACACACACACACACACACACACATACACACACACACACACACAAATACACCTTCACAAGGAAGGCAGCTACCCTTTCTGTCCTTTATGTATTCTCTGAAAACAGAGATTGACCTCAATGACCATTGCACTTTCAAAGGAGTAGAATGTAAGATTTCTCCCAGGTAGATTTTAGAGTTACTAAATGCCACCTAAGTACTCCCTACGGGTGTAGTAAGCAAGCCCGTGGCCTCCAACTCCCAGATTTCTTAGTTGCAAACATTCTCAGTGGCCAAATCAGATCCAAGGACACTTGGACTTTTCATAACCTTTCGTTCTAGAGTTTATAAAAGTGAGAACCCACCCTTTCCTTCTTCTAACCAACAATTCTGAATAAACCCTGGAAGGAAGGGATGGGAAGTGCATTGATAAAGGGCCACCAATGAATGAAGAGTCGGTATTCCCAAGAGAAAATACTTGGTGGGTTTGTGTAGGGCTTGGTGGGAAGGAAGACAGTTCTCTTCACATGGTGGAACAATGTGAATAAAGTCAGAACGGGTGTACGAAGAGCGTCTGCTTGTCTGGTGCACTCCAACCTTGTAACCTTGTCATTTGGCACGGCAAGAAGAAACGCAGAGCCTTTCTGTCCTTATATGTCTATAACTCATATCGTTTAGGAGGTCTCTTCAGCATCAGATGGATGGGAGGAAGTTACTGTAAAACACAACTCAGGGTAAGGGTTGGGAGGCATTACATTTAATGATGTTATTAATCAAAACTGGCTTTCCAACGAAGCTGCACTATGCTGGGGAGATTATTAATCTCAAATAATATGACACTGTTGCTAGGATGCCATATGCTACTCCTTTCTGGTTGAACAGCAAGAAGATAGACTGCCATGTTTTCCCCAGTCTTTGTAAGGTGGAAAAGAAGGATGGTAGCTTCAGAATAAATCTAGAGAGTGCGCTACTTTTCGAGATGTAAAAAAATTTGGAACTGAGAATGAAAAGCCAGATAGTTGCTTTATGGGTTGGAGGCTTATAATGAGCAATTTATAATGAACAGGTTTATATTGTAACAGAAAGTTACAACCAGCTGTAGCTCTTTGGAATGTTAAGGGACATCTTCACTACACTTTCATTAGTAAGTAATGCCTATAGGGAGACCATAGACCTGGTGGTAATTCAACCTTAGCAAGATTTTAAGCATAATCTTGAAATCTCAAATAATAAATAATAAAGCAAACTATGATTTATAAACACGCATATGTGTATAGAACAAACCTTAACTGCTTAAGCTTTGTTTAGCTAAAAGCACTTACCTTAAAATTTTATTACTGAACTTCCTAAGATATTGAAAATATCTGTTTTGGTGAACATACTTTTCCTGTAAAATATAAATAGATTTACATCTGTTTTTACCCTAAAAGATTATAAAAAATGGTATCATTAAAACTATAGTGATTAATATTCAAGACTAACAATGTTGGTGCCTGACTGTAATAGTCTCTTTTCCTTTTGTGGGCTTTTTTGTTTTTGCTTTGTTTTGGTATTTGTTTATTTGTTTGTTTGTTTTGTCATATAGAATTTGATATATGCTCACTCATTAAAGCCTGTAGGCCCCAGAATATTCACTGCAGTAGGAATATAGTAATAACAAAAACCAAATGCTGTGACACATAGATGTCCATCAAAAGAATAGTTAAATAAGTATGGTGGAGCCGTGTAACAGAATTCTATACAAACAAAAGAAATTTGGTATATCTCTATGCAGTGACATGAAAACATATAATTGTGTTTTTAAAACATAAATTTGTAAAACAGTTTTCCTAGAAATCAGTGAAGAAAAAGCAATGTATATTCATGTGTACATATATATACACATATATAAACAAAAAGAAAATATACATGTACAAATATCTGCAAGGCTGTCATTTCA